CTTTTCCACACTCGCCATAATTCACCACCAGATGTCAGGGTAGAGCTCATCCTGACTCTGCTTACATTTAAAAGGTGATGCACAAGGATCTGGTGGATTTTCGATCATTTGGAGTCTTTAAATCAAAATAAAGCATCTTCCTAAAAGATACACTCTAGCTGAACTGTGGGCTCAGTACAGAAGTAACTTGGTGAACGTCTCTGGCCGGTGTTATACGGGTGGTCAGGCTGATGCTCCAATGGTTCCTTCTGGCTTTCAGGTCTGTGAATCAACAATAAGAAAAGCAAGAGCTGTTTGGGGAATGTAGGGTTTTTTCCCTCCATGAAACTGTGTGTGTGGGGGGGAGGGTTGTGTTGGTTTTGGTCAAAATTTTGCATAAAAAATGTTCAGGATTTCGTCAACATCTGACTTTTTCCAGTGGTTTTTTTGTTTGTTTTGACAAAAGCTTGAAAAATATTTGAAAATGGATATTTCTGTTTTGATCAAAAGAACACTGGCAAAAAAAAACTTGCTGAAAAATTTTCTCCCAGCTCTAATGCAAACCTCTATTTCTTCACAAGCAGAGATCTCCACCACAGAGCTCTGAGTCGTCTCTTTTTCCACCTCTCCTCTCTCCTGTTCATCTGAAGTGTTGTTGAGTAAAGGTTATTCTTGATCCATTTCATCTGTAAGCTCCAGCTGCTATCTTATCAGCCTTACAAAGAGGCAGGAACATTTGAAGAACCTTTACAATTCTCATTTGTGTCCTCCCCTGCTCCAATTCTCCCTTTCTGTCAATATTGGTTGGTTTATTTCTCCTTTTCCCCAGAAAGATGGAGTTACCAAATGGTGCTCTGGCTGGTTGATCACGGGATTTGGATTTTAAGCTCCCTGCTATGTCCAAGGAGGATCTAGAAGAGTTTCAGGTTGCCATTGATAGAGGAAACCTTTCAGCAGCAGCTTCCAAAGTGCAGAAATCACTGGAGCTATTGAAAAATGCCAAGCTTGACATCGCCATCATGGGGGAGATGGGCGCTGGGAAGTCATCCTTCATCAATGCCATCCGGGGTTTGGAAGATGATGATGAAGGTGCAGCTAAGGTTTGTGTCTTTGAAATGACAATGGCGCCAACTGCTTATTCTCTTCCCAAACACCCCATGTGAGGCTGTGTGACCTACCAGGAATTGGGACACTGAGATTCTGGCTTGACACATACCTCCAGCAGGTCAACTTTTCCCACTACGATTGCTTCGTCATCATCACTGCAGAGCGATTCAAATACACCCATGCTGTCCTGACCCAGAAGATCCAGAGGATGGGGGAAAAGTTCTACTTTGTGCACTCCAAGGTGGACATGGACTTGTTTAACGAAAGAAGGAAAAAGAACTTCAGCCAGGAGGGTGCCCTGCAGAGAATTCGAGATGATTGCATCGAGTCCCCACGGAGACAACGGATGAGCTCCCCACAGATTTTCCTCATCTCCAGGTGGGAATTCGACCAGTACGATGCTCCCTGACTGCAAGAAGCTCTGGCAGATGAAGTCGATGCTCACAAGAGACGTGTTTTGCTTCTTGCCGTACCCGGCATTTTCAGACTCATCTTCGAAAAGAAGAGGACAGCCCTGCAGGGGCAGGTCAGGGTACAAGCCCGCACCATCTCTGCCGTTTTTAATCCAGGTCTCTCCATTGATTGTGGCGTTCCCCAGTTGATAGACTGCATGTCAAGTTACTGCAAGAGCTTTGGCTTGGATGACGACTCCCTGGTTACCCTTGCCCAGCAGGTTGGGAAGCCTGTCGTGGACTTGAGAGCTGTGGTAAGGTCTCCGCTAGGCAAAGAAATATCTAGTCATTTTACTTTGAATCTGCTGGCTAAGGCTAGAGCTGATTGCATGACAAGAACCAGGGGTATCCTCAGTGCGATACCGTTGGTCAGTGGTTTGGTGGAGGCACAGATGACTTTTTTGGTCACATGCACCGTCCTGCAGCGCTTTCTGGATAACGTGGCTGAAGATGCCCAAAGGGTCCTGATCAAGGCATTGGAGGCGGAAGAGAAAAAGTGAGTGCAGCAGTCTCAGGAGTTCAATAGTCCCCAGACAGAGACTCTCAAGGGAGCTGGAGACCAGGGACCAGAGTCTCTCACCCACTGGAAAAAGTTATGAGGATTAATCACTTGTATCAGTGCCTCCCCCCTCCCTCCCAGTGCCTCCCGCCCGCCGCGATCAGCTGCTCCGTGGCATGCAGGAGGCGCTGAGGGGGAGAGGGAAGGCGTGAGGGTGTGGTGCACTTCGGGGAGGGGGCAGAATGGGGTGGGAAGAGGTGGGGAGGGGTGGAGTGGAGCGGGGGCGGAAGAGGCAGGGCGGGGGTGGGGTCTTGGAGGAAGGGTTGGAGTGGGGGAGGTGCTGGGGCAGAGCTTGGGGGTCAAGCACCCCAGCGCATTAGAAAGTCGGCGCTATGGTCTTGTGATTAATGAACGGGCCTGGAGCTCAGAGGATTCTCGTCTGATGGTGGGGAAAATCTATGGGTCAGAATCTCCAGCTGGTGTGAACGGGCCATGGCTCCATTGGAATCAATGGGGCCAGATCCCCTGCTGGGGTCAATGGGCTATAGCTCCATTGGAGTTAATGGGGCCAGATCCCCTGCTGGGGTCAATGGACTGTAGCTCCATTGGAGTTAATGGGGCACTCAAACATCGTAAGCATTATTAATAATTATTTTATTCTTTAAAATATCAGTTTAATGAGATCAGCAGAGTTTTACACCAGAGGTGAATCTGGGCGAATCATAAAACTAAGAAGAACTTAGTGTAACACCAACAGACCCCTGTCGTTGGTGGGCGGGATCGAACCTAGAATCTCTGAAGCTTAGTGCATGAGCCTCTAGTGCATGAGCTAAAAGCAACATGTCCCTTATCTAAGACTGTAGAGCAGACTCATTAATCTCTCTCTAAGTGGTCTCAGTGCCACTAGAGAGGACAGAGCACCGCACCCAGGATGTGTGTGGGTTACATAAGCAGGGTTTGAGATGAGGACATGGGTGCTGCATGCATCCCAGAATGCTCCAGCCTATGTTATCTCACCAGCTCTGTGGGCTTATGGGTGTGATGAAGGCTGAAACTCCTCGCTCATTGCTACTGACTGCAGCTTATCAATAACTATTACGGTGGTTGAAAATTTGTCATCCAATCTGGTTTTGATCATCTGCTGAAAGAGTCAGATTTTCTTTTCTTAAAAACATCCATAATTACAAAAAAAACCACCCAAAATATTTTGTCTTGGAAGGGCAGCTGCACTGCCTCATAGGCATGCGTCTGACAAAAGTGGGTATTCACCCACGAAAGCTTATGCTTCAATACATCTGTTAGTCTTAAAGGTGCCACATAGCAGTTGTAGTTCATTTCCCTCATGTCCTCATTCTCCTCTATGAGTGAGGATCCCCGGCTGAACTACATCCCCCATGATGCACTATGGTGAGAGGCTCCAGTGATGTTCTGCCTCTCTCTCTCTCTCTCTCTCTCCAAGAGGGGAAAGTGTGGTGCATTGTGGGAAATGTAGTCCAACCAGGGAGTCTGGTCTATAATGGTGAATGGGGGCATGAGTCACCTGAACTACAACTCCCATGAGACATCACAACAGGATTTCTAAATCAAAATATTTTGGTTCATGATTTCTTTTGCAGACCACTCCCATTTACTAACCATAGTTATTAATTATGTATATTACAGTGGCACATACATAGATTAAGTTTGCATTGCGCTAGATGCTGTAGAGGAAGAGTTATAGCCCTTGACCTAAATAGACAAAGGGTAGAAAGAGGAATAGAACCAACGTCTTCTAAATCACAGTCTGACCCACTGGGCCATGGAGGGCCTGGTGCAATGTGACAATGACTACAATCTTTCTCTTCTCTTCCCTTCCCCCAGAGAGATGGATGCTACTGGAGAAACTTCGTCTGGTTTATTTCAAGATCGGGATGTTAAACTCCCTGGTATGTCCGAGGAGGATGTTGAAGAGCTAAAGGCTTTCATTGAAACAGGGAACCTTTCAGAAGCAGCTCAAAAAGCACAGGAGGCCCTGGAGCTGTCAAAAAACACTGAGCTCAACATCGCCATCACGGGGGAGTCGGGATCTGGGAAATCGTCCTTCGTCAACGCCATGCTGGGTTTAGCCGACGATGATGAAGGAGCAGCAGAGGTTGGCATCACAGAAATGACAACAGAGCCAACCGCTTATCTGCATCCCATGCTCTCCAATGTGAAGATGTGGGACCTACCTGGGATCGGGACTCCAACTTTCCGGCCTGACTCCTACCTTCAGCAGGTCAGCTTTGCCCGCTATGACTTCTTCATCATAGTCACTTCGAAGCGCTTCAGATCCTGTAATGCAGACCTAGCCCAGGAGATCCAGAAGATGGGGAAGAAGTTCTACTTTGTGCGCTCCAAAGTAGACGAGGACTTGAGAAACGAAAGTAGAAAAAGAAACTACAATCAGGAGACCACCTTGCAGACAATCCGAGACGACTGTGTGGAGAAGCTGAGGAGAGAAGGGGTAAATTCCCCGCAGGTTTTCCTCATTTCCAGGTGGGAATTCAACCAATACGATTCTCCCCAACTGCAGGAAACTCTGGCCAGTGAATTGGACTCTCACAAGAGACACATTTTCCTCTTGGCGCTTCCCAACATCTCAAGGCCAATCCTGGTTATGAAAAAAGAAGCCCTGAAGAGGCAGATCTGGAAACGAGCCCTGAAGTCATGCGCCATCGCAGCTGTTCCCATCCCCCACCTCTCTGTCTCATGTGACGTTGACATCCTGGTGGAATCCATGACCGAGTACTGCAAAGTCTTCGGTTTGGATGAAGAATCCCTCATTAAACTCTCCACACAGGTCAGGAAACCCGTGTCTCAGTTGAAGGATGTGATCAAGACCCCATTGGCCAAGGAAATATCAAGAGAAGATGCTTTGGAGCTGCTGAGCAAGGTTACAGGTACAATATGTCCATTCTTCGATGATCTCTTCCCTTTTAGTATTCCCTCGTTCAGCCTATGCGGGCTGATGGGTGATTCCATGATACATGTTAAAAAGTACATAAGCCTCGTACCAGTCTATGGAACCCTCCTAGCTGCAGAGCTCTCATTCCGAGCTACATACAATACCCTGCATTCCTTTCTGGAAGGCGTTGCTGAGGATGCTCACCGGGTGCTCACCGAGGCTCTGGAGGTGGCAGAGAAAAAGTCCGTTTAGTGGCACCGGGGAGGATGGCATTGCAGTCAAAGTGTTGGAGTGTGACTCAGGAGACCTGCCTCCACCACAGCCTGCCTGTGGGACCTTCATCATGTCTAGTCATCTCTGTGCCTCAGTTTCCCCTGCCTATAACATGGAGAGAATAATCCTTTGTCTACTTAGACTGTAAGCTCATTGGGGGCAGAAACTGTGTCTCCCTCTGTGTCTGGGCAGCGCCCGGCACAACGGGGCCCTGATCTGGGTTGGGGTTGTAGAGAGATGTTTGTTGAAGATTAGAATTTAGAGACGCTCCCACATAATGAACTGTATTATGAATGCAGGAATTTAGTGATGTGCCCTGGAAGCTGGGTTGAGAACCCAGTACAGCTGTGCACAGCAATTCAAAAACAAACTAGAAGCTCTTTAGTTTGTTTTATTAAAGTTGTATTCCTGTGCGTCACAGACGCACAGGACTCATGCTCTCTCGGCTTCGTACGATCCCTGGGGGGAACCGGCTTCAGTGTGACAGCCCTACTCAGGGGTCCGCTCTCTCTCGGGGGTAAAGCCCTGGACTCCTGCGCCTCCTGGAACCACACCTCTCTGAGCCTTCAGCAAACCTGGTTCTGCCGTGGGCCCCCTCAGGGAGTCCCCTCGCTCTGGACCCCCCGGGCCTCCACTCCCAGAGGGAATAATGCCACCCTGTTCTCTAGCCCGGAGCGACTCTCAGCCAACGTAAAACAGGAGGTTTATTGAGCATTTGAACTCAGCACAGGAAACTCTCAGGGCCACAGTCCTGGCCTCCCTCAGCACCATACATCTAGATCTGTCCTGCCTCCAGGTGGGCTCTGCCTGCTCTCTCCTCCTAGCCCAGAAAACCCTCCTTCCAGCTGGGCATCCGATATCACCGTCCCCCAAGCCCCGCCTCTGTCCTTTGTCTTCTGTCCCAGGTAAAAGGCCTCCTGGGTCTCCTCTCCTCTCATCCATCCTTTGTTCCCCACTGGCTGAAACCGGCTGGTCGGGTCACCAGGGTCCTCTCCCTGCAGCCCATTGTCCTCCCACATGGACCGAACCAACTGTGACTCTATAGAGCAATATGTTACATGGCTTTTCCTTCACCCTCCCACTTCCCTGCATAGGCGCCAACTTTCTTTGGTGCCGGTGGGTGCTCGCGCCCCCCCGCCACTGGCCCCGCCCTGACTCCACCCTTTCCCCACCCCTGGCCCTGCCCCAACTTCAACCCCTTCCCCAAAGTCCCTGCCCCAACTCCGCCCCCTCCCTGCCCACGTTGGATCCCTTCCCCAAATCCCTGCCCCGGCCCCGCCTCTTCCCCCAGTGCGCCGCGTTCCCCCTCCTTCCCCCTCCCTCCCTGCCCCGCGAAACAGCTGTTTCGTGGCACAAGCGCTGGGAAGGATGGGGGAGAAGCAGGACCTGGCGGCGCGCTCGCGGAGGAGGCGAAGGCAGGCTGAGGTGAGCTGGAGCTGGGGGCGGGGGGCGGGGCGGGGAGCTGCCGGTGGATGCACAGCACCCACCAATTTTTCTCCGTGGGTGCTCCAGCCCTGGAGCACCCATGGAGTCGGCGCCTATGCTTCCCTGGTTCTTGTTACGCAGACAGCAAGCAGCAAAAAACCAGCAGTCCATAGTGCAGACAATGTGATGTTTATTGGGGTTAATGTCCAGCAAGCATGATTCCAATTTCCCTTCCCCCCACTTCCTGTTTGACCCCAGTTTATATAGTAATATTCTCAGCTACACCTTAACCAATCATTTTACTGAAATGTAACTAACCAATCCTAACATACTGTATCATAATTCTCTAACCAATTATATCTCATTACCCTAATTAATTTACATCTAGCAAAATTAATTATACAGCAGACAGAAACGATTACAGATCCAGACAGATTAAGAATAGAAAAGTGGGGGCCATAAAGATAAAACAGACAGAAATGAGGGTTTCACAACCACAACCATTGAGAAGTGATTTCTTGCCAGACCGGATGCTATCCAACTAAGGCCTTGTCTACACTGCCACTTTACAGCGTTGCAACTTTCTCACTCAGGGGTGTGAAAAAACACTTCCCCCCCTGAGCGCAGCAAGTTACAGCCCTGTAACGTGGCAGTATAGAGAGTGCCCCAGCGCTGGGAGCTACAGGGGGTGGGTTTTTTACAGTTCTGGGAGAGCTCTTTCCCAGCGCTGGTGCCGCGACTACACAAGCCACGTTGCTAGTGAAGACTAGTCCTGTTTTCTTTAACCATCTTAAGATCTGTTTCTTTATCTGGTGGTGATGGGCACTATCAGGACAGGATCGTCTTCCTAACAGCCTGTGATAAATGAAGGGGGGGAAGGGGGGATAGCTCCCTTTTGTGGACACCCAGCCAGCCAGTAGCTATAAAATCCCTCTTAGTAGCTGTTCTCTACTTGCTCTACCTGTAAAGGGTTAAAAAGTCTCACTGCTTGCATAGATAAAAGGAAGGGAGTGGACCCCTGGCCAAAAGAGCCAATGGGAAGGCTCGAATTTTTTAAAATTGAAAAAAGACCCCCCTTTTGTCTGTCTGTTGTTGTTCTCCGGGGAGAGGCGGACAGGGCAGAGCGATGCTGTAAGAAGCTTGGGCCAGGTAAGAAAAAGTCATCAGTCTCATACCGAGAAACTGCTCATTTGAAACCTGAGATATGTAAGTAGATCAGGAAATGTCTAGGACGACACGATTAGGTTTAGCCCTTTTATTTCTTTATGGCTTGTGGATTCCTCTGTGCTAACCCCAGGTGCTTTTGTTTTGCATGTAACCTTTAAGATGAACCTGAAGAAAGCTATTCTTGGTGCTTAATCCTTGTAGTTGTTTTTTTTAAACCTAGCAATAGCCTGAGTTCCCAGATGTATTTTCTTTCTTTTTTTTTATTAATAAAATTTACCTTTTTAAAGAACATAATTGGATTTTTGTGTCTAAGAGGTTTGTGCACATATTGTTTAATTAGCCGGTGGCAACAGCTGATTTCCTTTGTTTTTCTTTCTCAGCTCTTCCCTGGAGTGGGGGTGAAAGGGCTTGAGGGGACCCACAGGGAGGAATTCCCAAGTGCCCCTTCCAGGGCTCTCAAAGGGGTTCTGCTCTTGGGTGGTGGCAGCAAATACCAATCCAAGGTCAGAGAAGAGCTGCAAACTTGGGAGCTGAATACCAGCCCAGAGTGGCCAGTATTAATTGTTAGAATCCTTGTGGGCCCCACTTCCTGCACTCGAAGTGCCAGACTGGGGAATCAGCCCTGACACAGCCCAATACCCCCTTATTTCAGTGTGGCGGGTTTGGGATGTGAGGATGTGACCGTTTGCTTCCCAGCTTATGGCTGCCCCTGCTGCTGAGCCAAAGGCCTGAGCCTAAGAACCAGGCCTCAGACTGTCCTGGTGAGAGAAGGCCCAGACACAGGCAGACTGAGATTTTGATTCTTTGTTTTATACCCTTGTCACTAGCTAAGTGCTAAAAATACACCTAAGTTCTTAAAGTCTAGGCCTGTACAGGCAGGCCTGAATATCTATAGCCTAACACGTCACCCCTTTCTTTTCTTTTGGGATCCTGCTGCCCAGGTATCCCTGGGAAAGCATAGGACATACGGCGACACATTTCCTGATAGGGCCAGGCATCGAGGAGGAAGGTGTCAATGCTCCATCTGTCCCACTGCCCCTTGTGTAGTACAAAGCCCTGCACCTTCTCTGGTACGGGCATACCACACCTATTCCAATTAGTGTTCCAGACTTCCCATTATAGTGGGCCTGAGAAGGTTGGGTCTGGGTTCTCTAGTACACTAGGGGGAAGGGCCTATTACATCACTTATAGGTTATAATTAGTGGCCGTTCTTTAGAGGGTTGTGCCCCTCTTGACTGTTCCATATGCAACGTAACACAAGTATACTTAACAACACACCAGTTGCCATGATAATCCACAGCAACACCGAGAGTCCTGACCACTGTAGTATAGTCCAACATCCCGACCACCACCAAAACCACTGCTTCTCCTCCTTTGATAGGGCGAAAATTCTGTCAACGCCATCCTGACGTGTGTATTGTAAGTGTGTCCAACTATTGGTGGTCGCGGCGAGTTGCTCCTGCAATCTTTGTGTACTCTGGTCCATGTTGTGTGTCCATTGAATATCCACAATGAAATTCAGTGCTGTCCGCACCAGTTCGACTATTTGGTATGGGATGGTGTAACAGGTGCTGGTTCGATTGTGCGCAGCAATGGGTTCCACAGATCCATTCGTGCACCGTAGTCCCGATGGCAGTGTGTAGATGTGTGAAACTGTGCCAGATGCTGGTGCAATTGTGTCCCCAAGTGTTGTGTACATTCCCAGCAAACATCCCAGACCCCATATATATCACCCCTAATGGCCCCCATTTGTAACAGGCCAATAATTCTGCCCCTCCGTGGCCATTGAGGAGGGACACATTCAGATATTTTATCTGGACAAACAATTACTTAACTGAATTATTGTCCATTTTACACCATTCCATCCTCCCCATCTATCTCCCAGTGGGTCCCAGCGAGCTCCTCCCTTTCTCATTATTCCCATAGGGCTCATGGGGACCCCCTTAGTAGCTGTCCCATTCCAAGGCACCACAGTAACTATTACACAGGAGCTAGCCCCAGAGTTGAGCGTTTTGTATCCCCATGCACACCTCCCCCTCCCAAGTTAGCCTTTTGAAGCCACCCCCCACCCATGTCATGAGGTCTCCTGTCCATTGAGTTAGCCGCACGTTCACTTTTGTGGCCCTTTTCCATCCCATTGCGATTGCAGATCGTTGCTGTGCCAGTAGCTCATTGATTTGCTGCTGCAATTTTACATTCTGGCTTATCAGTTACTCAACAGTCCCTCAGATTTCATACACCCAGCCCTGTGTTTCCTGCTGCCCACAAACCCCTTTTCCAGTGACAATTCCATGAATGTCCCCTCACCCACCAATTAAATTGGTGCTTCAACCCTTCTCTGTATGTGCTGCAGTTGGGGTGTACCCGGTCCACCCACCATTCTCTGGGGTGCAACACCCATGTTATGGACTGGAAAGACATGTTGAAAAGCGCTGATTGAACCTGCTCCCATGGTGGCTCTCATACGTTCGTGGGTCAAGGGGTATTTTTGGCTCCAGGCTGCGGCCAGCTTAG